CAATGATGGAGAACTGATTCTGATTGGTCAGACATGGACACTGGTCGGTAGGTAACCGTGTTCAACTTACTTGTGGTGTCACTTTGAAAGGACAGTTCTCAGAAGGTGTGAGGCCCCACAAGTTAGCGATATGTACAGGATTGTCCTTGCACATTGTCGTAAAGAATAGAATAATCCAATAGCATGAAACTACAGGAACGGGTGGATCATGAAGAACAAGACTAGAGAACAACATCATTATGGATGGAGGACTGGGTATGAGGGGTGTAAGAGCTCAGGGGTATCATGACTGAGTTATAGAAGGCGTCTCTCCAGCACTAGGTGTTTGTTCCTGGGAGACAGTCGATGTCGGTTTGCCACCTAACCAGGTAGTAGTTAGCAGAGGCGTTGAAGGAGATGTTTGCAGATACGAACTGACAATATCATGTTCCTGCAAAGCATGCTCAACCGGCACAACACCACTTTCACTAGGTTGACTTAATCCATTTCCTTGAATATGATCAGGATGGGTAGGCTCGCTTCCAGCCTCTAGATACTTTCGGAAGACAATCGTTCCTTCATATATAGACAGGATGGGTAGATTTATCTTCGCCACCATCTGTTTCATGTGACGTCATTTGGCCGGAGCTGCAAAGCCTGGAACAGCATCTGATGTGAGAAGAGATGTGAGAAGATATTTCGACCGAGGCACTAGTACCCCCTTCCGCACCTCCGAATAGACAGATACGTCTGGGCTAGCTCCTTGCAAGTCTTCCCCCTTCTTGGTCTCAGCATCTGCAGTATGACTTCATGTCTTCGTTTGCTCTGGAATCTCTTCGGTAGCCGACTCGGGGATTTGTGAGATAACCTCCATTTGTGCCGAAGGCTCCTTTTCACTGGAGACTGGGTGTTGATTGGGAGCTTCTACGGTCCCAACTGGTTGAAGACAATCGCACTCATCAAAATATTCAACCCGCTAGAACCCTGCCGGCGACCAGAGAGGGAGATCCTCCTTGCCAGTCTCTGCATGCCCTGTGTCGATAATGTCCTTCATCTCTTTCCGTCCTGGTCGACATCAGGTGTCCCAGTTCGTGGGGGCATGGCCACATTCTGGAATGTCACCCCTGGAGTTTGTGCACGTTCTGCCAATGAAGGCGTGTGCTGAGAGGATGTATCTCCCTCTGAACCGGGGAATGCGATAGGTGTCCCATGAGGGCTATCAGAAGTTGGGAATGATATGGGAGCAGATGCCGAGGTTGGGAACCTCTCTGGCTCCGGCCCGTGCATGGATGAGGCAGGGAATGCAACTGATGCGGTGCTAACACTGGATGTGGAGGCAGCCTCACTTCTCACAGTATGTGCACCCTCGGACGCTTCTGCCGTGGGTTCACCATGGGTTGATTCAGGTGCAGGGGGAGCACTTTTGGTTGCCAGAACTTGCTGATCAGCACCCTCGGCCGTTTCCGCAGCAGTAGTCACCCGCGCCGCCACAGAAGGTGCGAAGTCAGTCGTATCTTGCTCAGTCTTGGTTGCGTGTTCCTCATCATGGTCGACAGCATAACCAGAGATATCCTTCTTGTGAGATGAGGCAGCGTCAGATGATGAAATTTGATCAGCCCACATCGAGGGGAAAATGCTGTCGTGAGCGAGCAATTCACTGTGAGTGCCCTGTTCCACAATTTGACCATCCTTGAGGACGAGGATTCTGGAAAGCAAAATCAGACAAGGTCGACAGCACGCGACGTTGTCAATACGTACAGATCAACGGCAGCGATAGTCTAGATATACATTGTCAGATAAATGGAAGCTGGGCTTAGAATTGAAAAACTCGCGGAAAGACGATGGGCAATTGAAAGTGACGACCGGCCTTCTTGCAAATGCTGGAGCGCCTTTTGAATATCCTTTTCCGTTGAAGTATCAAGCACACTGTAGGCATATGTCAATAAGAGCGGCCCGTCAAACACCGTTGCCAAAACTCACCTCGTAGCCTCGTCCAACAGCAAGATGGGGGAATTGTTCAGCATGGTACGTGCAATGGCGACACGCTGTTTCTCTCCTCCACTTAGTCGAATACCGCACTCGCCAACCTTTGTCTCGTAGCCTTCGGGGAAGCTCATAATCCTATCATGCAATTGAGCAGCTTTAGCAGCGGCTTTGATCTGATCCCTGGAGGCACCGAACTTGCCATATCTGAAGGATCAGTAATGTTAGTGGACAGCCGCGGCTCTAACTGAGCGCTACTTACGCAATATTGTACGCGATGCTCGTATTGAAGAGAATGGGGTCTTGAGGTACAACACCAATTGCCTTGCGCAGAGAGGCCTGAGTAACATCACGGATTTCCCTGCTGTCAATAAGAATCCATCCCTCGCCCTCCTTGAGATCATAGAACCTGTACAGAAGGCGCAGGATGGTGGACTTCCCAGAACCAGACTCGCCGACCAATGCAAGCGAAGAATGTTTCAGAACGTGGAAGGAGATGCCCCTTAGTGCCGTATTGCGCCCATCGTAGGAGAAGTTTACATTATCTACAAAAGGAGTTAAGCCATTGCCTATTGGAAGGGTGTGGAAAAGGTTTACCAAATTCGATCTCTCCATCTTCGACGATGAGGTCTGGTGCACCAGGCTTGTCGTTAACCTCTGCAGGCTTGCTGAGCAGCTTCAACAGCTTCTCAGTATCAACAAGGGATTGGTTCACAGAGCAATAGATATAGCCAAGCATGTTGAGTGGGCCATAAAACTGCATGACGAATGTCAGCACAGATCACGTCAATAGAAGTCGCGCATTCTGGGCCTACCTGCGCGAGATAAGTGATGAAGAACACGAACTCATGAGGCTTAGATGCGCCTGTTGTGACCCGATATCCGACGATCATAGATCCAATGAGAAGTCCCAGAGTCTACATGGAATCACGATTTTAGATATGGTTCAGATGAGCCGTGAAAAAAAAATGGTTCAGATGAGCCGTGAAAAAAAAATGGTTCGAAGGACTCACAATGATGAAGTTCTGCACCAAATTGAGCAGGCTGAGTGAGACCATGACTCGGTATTCCAAGGCCTGATATTGCCTAATGGCGTCGTGGTAATGCACGCCTTCATGCTGTTCTCCACCAAAATATTTGACAGTCTCGTAATTGAGCAGGCAATCAGTGTGAATGCCACGAGTGATCTACAAGGAATGTCAATCATTGATAGCGGTGTAGAGCGTATCAAAATATATCGCTTACAACATCGCGTTCATTCATCTGTCTCCTAAGTTTAGTACACCATCTTGTCAAAATGACACTAGCGGTGACTGTAAATGAACAGCATTAGATTGGTTAACTTAAGAATTGACAGTGCTCACCATAAGCTGTCGTAATGAAGAAAATAACCAGAGCCAGAGTCCATTCAAAATAAATGCAGAAGAAAATCAAAGCGATGAAGATATCAAAGAAAGTGGGTATAATATTGAACATGACGATCTCCAAGGTTTGGTTGATGACTGCTCCACGATCCAGAATACGGAGGATCTCGCCCATCTTACGGTGGGTGTGGAAGGCGAATGAAAGGTTAAGGAGGTGGTCGAAAGAAAGTTGCGACATCTCTGAGGAATAGTCATCAGCAAAAATTCCACAAGGATACAAAACAGGGAACAGTCGCACCCCGGTCAGAGTATTGCATAACAGGAATCCAAAGGGTCTGTAGACAAAGGGTGAGAATGGCATCATCGAAAATTCAAAATCACATACATCGCGAAGGGCAGCCAAACCTCCATTGGCCTGAAGGAAACATAATCCAACATATGCAAAGAGGTACGGCCAAGGGGAGCGTATGGAGCCTTCTTCAAAGATGCGCACAACTTCGGCAAATGCGAGAGGTGTAAGGAAGTTGACAAAATGACCAACAACAATGAGTAGAATATACAAGAACTATAACCAGATGGGCGTCAGCTGTGCAAATGATGTCAAATCAAGAAAACCTACAGCCAAAAATTGCAGGGCATGACTCTTTGATGGCCACAAGTAGGGAGTGATACGTTTGAGTCGGTCATACAATTCGCTCCAAGAAGGGTCTGGGTTAATCTCCTCCTTGGGGTCTTCAGGAACTACCTTGCGCTAGGTTTATACTTAAGTTATGCATACGGCACACGACTGCTCCTGCGCTTACCTTGGGCTGGGGGACGCGTGAAGCAGAGGGTGCAGGTGTTCGGGTATGGGTAGTCGGACTAGATGCAGCAGGGAACAATGGCCGCGAAATGCAGAATGTATCATACTTGCTAACCTCACTTTCGAGAGGAGATAGTCCAGTAGAAGCCGCAGCTCTTTCCGCAGCGGGAAGGAGAAGGCTCGAGTCAGAAGGTTGCTCCTCATCAGCAGCTGATGTGGGTACGTAGGCAACATGAGGGTTGAGCAACGCGACCAGGAGAGGTGCCAGTAACAACACTCGGAATGCAGTAAAAGACAGGTGTAGAAGCCATTTAATAGACAGAGATTCTTGAAAGAGCGGCTTTGGTCAGGGTGAATGTCCAGCAACAGAACGAACAAGGAACTTACTCTGAAAATGCAAACCAAACAATACGACTTGTGTGATATCGAGCACCAAGGCTGCATTTATAGCGAATTTGACTCTCTTGGAAGACCAAACATCAACCCCTTTGATGTCTTTCCATGTCCCCAGGGCTGCCAATCCAAGAAACGCAACGAGACCTTCAATAGCACCAACTTCAATACCCGTAAAGTCAGACCATGTTTTGGAGAGGACGGCAAAAATGACAAACATCAAACCGTCGAGAAGATACGTGAGGCCAGAAAGAGAAAGTAGAGCAAGAATAATGGCACGACGGGGTGTACCAGTAGCGACGACGACAGGAGTTATGGGAGAAGCCGATGGCGGCGGGGAAGGGCGTGCTGGTACGATAGACAAAGTGGAGAGCAGTACGAATGCTGGTGAAAGAACTCTGAGAATGAAGATAGGCAGAGAAGATATCGTTACGCCTGGGATGGCCATGGTCATGGCGGTGGTCATCGTCATCGTCGTCACTATGCTTAACATTGCGAGAAATCGCAGATACCCTACCTGGTAATACCTCACTTCAGAACAAAGCGCTCACTGTAGCGAACGATATAATGAATGTCTTTAATAACCGTGACTTGTCAAGTATTCCTCATGTGAGGAAACTCGCCGAAGAAGTCTTCGGTGAAGGCTGGGAAAAGAAGGGTGAAAAGATCTACGAGGAGGGTACTGAGAAGGCTCAGATTTGGGGTATCGGGTATTGTCATATTGATACTGCTTGGTATGTCCATCATGCATCCAGTAATATATAATATTTAACATCCTCTCTATGTAGGCTCTGGCCTTATAGTGTCACGCAGCAGAAGGTTGCGCATTCGTGGTCTACGCAGGTTGACCTCATGCCGGTAGTTGGTCGTAAAAAGGAGAGAAAGGTTCGAATGGCCACTGGCGCAAGCCCGTCCTCGTGGTATGGAAGCAAGCTCTTTATCTTGGACCGGCTACCTTTTCCACCCTTCACGCTTCTCACAGTCAGAACAAAATAAATATATGTTTAGAGTCCAACCATTGGTTTACGCGGATGCCATAACATCACTGCTGCCTCGAGCTGAAGGTACGCTATCATTCGCAATCATGATACACGCATGATAAGGACACATTCCATGGCGTACAGCTCGACAGAACTCCCGAATAATCGAAACAGAATGGTAAAAAGTCTAACTGGAACGTCTGTCCGGCAGGAGAAATCAAGCAGTGAGGATATTCCAGTCCACTTTCAAATACTCGCCGGGGGTATTATTGGTGTCAGAAGTATGGCTATCATCTCCCTCATTATGACTCTAGCAAACAATGGACGACGGCGAAGGGCATGTATTTTGCCTCTCGTTACATTCCATGGATATTCAAATTGTATGTTCTTCCCTTCTACATTTGCGCTGTGCATTATCAGTGCCCAACCTCTGCTAGAGCTCTATTGATGATCAACATTGATGGCACGACTGGTCTATTCTTCACCATATCGCAATGTCGGAAGTGGATGATCATCCAGGCCGTCACCCTCCAACTGATCGTAATGATCGTGGATGTGATTCTGATGACTCGAGGTATGTCTCTCATCTTCTCCTTCCCCGGGCTTCTCAATGGTGACTGTTACCTGAAAGTGTATGCCCTGTTTAATAGGAACTGAACCCTTCTATGCATGCTTATTGTCCTATTCTGCAGTGAAATCAGTTATATGTCTTATGTTCTAAGCTATGTCATGCCCAAACTGACTTACAACGATGATTGTTTCGTTACATCGAGTCCACCAATTTTCGTATCTTATTGGTATGTCGTGCCCCCTTAATCAATCAGTAGATTCTCCATGCTGATGGCCTCCACGATATACTGTCTTGGCAATAAATTTGCAGGATCGTGTCGCTAGTATTCGAGACATTTCTTTTCCTCCTCACACTTGTGAAATTCTTCGAGGCTCTCCGGCACGGATGGGGTCATCGGCCTATCATGCGACAGTTCATATCAGACGGGACGTGGGCATATGCTCTCATCTTCGGTATATAATTCTCCTTCAAAAATGTCCGTTTTTACCTTGATTGATTCAACTTTCGTTTCGGTAGCTATGATGTTCCTGAACTCGATGTTGTACAAATTTTTTCATTTGCCATTAGCAGGCATTTGCTTCACGTGAGTTTTCTTTTCACGTCACTTTCCAGACTCGCCGTCTGACTTATATCCATGGGCATGGGCATGGGCTTGCGTTATAGGTGGTTACTGTCGGCACTGTCCATCGCTGGTTCTCGGCTTGTCTTGAACCCATGCAGGAGGTCGCAGGAGGAGTCATCCAAGTCAGAAGATCTTTCACCTATCTCACTGACGACTCGCATAGCCTTTAAAGACACACGACTCGATAGTAGCCTCAGTACTAACGACTTTCCGTGAGCCATCAAGTTATCATATCAGACTCTGCCATGGAGACTACGGCCCCGGGAGGCCCGATACCCACTACCAGACCAATCATCCCGTACCCTCCTATCACCAGTATTACCACTGTTATCCCGAAAAATAAGGAAAGGCGGGGTACAGTGTCGAAGCTAGAATTCGGGAAGGCTGCTATCCACAGTCGAGGTGATTGTGACGGTTGTGGTGACTGTGGGAAGGGACAGGAACAGGTGCAAGGGACTATGGAGGATGAGCTGATAATGCCCTAACAGTGGAAGTACAAATGTGACTGAACGTACCGTTGAGGCTGCCTAGTTGTAGGAATGAATGAGAGTGTGTTTACGAGTAGGAATAAAGAACGACGAACTGTCTGGCAGAGCCGTGACAATGCCCATCAATGTAGAAGTTAGCAGGAAGCTGAAGTGGGCTAGGATTCATCTTTGCATTCTTAACGTGAGAGAACCTTGCATGCACATTTTATATCTCTTCTCAAATTAGCCTTTACTTCGGATGAAAAGTACTCCATAATTGTCAATTCCAGAGCTTTGGATTGAAGTAAGGTACCTGTACTGAAATAATTCTACAGCGTGATGATTTCTTCTGCCTGTACGTCATGCCTGAAGGTTTGTCAAGTGAAAGTTTGTTTCTGAGGATTATGACAACAAGATGTTAATGGCCCAGTTCCTTGGCAAGTGTAATATATGATGAAATCTCTCAAGACGATCCACAAGGCCTTCCATTTTTGGATACTTGTCGATGCCGTTTAGGCTCGCCTCCTATTCGTGACGTCGTCTCCTTGAAGTTAACAATCATCATAGTATTAGTACTAACTTGAAACTATGCCAAAGCACGAAATAAAAACAGCTGCAGCTCCTTTCGACAATGCTTCTGCGACCGTAGTCCTGCGAACTTGCGACAATGTTGACTTTCACATCTTTAGAGAAGTCCTCCTCATTGCATCCCCTGTCTTCGCTACCATCTTTTCCTTACCCTGCCCAAACTCGGACAATGACACTGACTCAAAGGATGGAGTCCCTGTCATTCCCATATCTGAGGACCAGAAGACGATGAACTATATCCTACATCTTTGCTATCCTTTACCCGGTCCCCCCTCACTCACCTCCATGTCTGTCGCAGAGAAAGTCTTTGAAGCCACTATGAAGTATGAAATACAGAAGGTGTTGGATATAGTCAAAACTGAGGTAACATCTCTGGGAAATGCAGACCCGTTAAGCTTGTATTCCTTTTCCTGCAGGACGTCTCTGGAGCGCGGCGCAAAACGCGCAGCTGAACTGCTATGCGAAAGGTATCGGCCCAGTGACAGATGTCCCGGATGTATCACATCTTACTCAAAGAGGAAATCACCCAGTTACTGACAGGGATTTCTGTACGCTTGCCGAGAAACTCTACGCCAATGCCCCAGTGATGTGTCAGCTGGCTGTCTTTTTCACCTAGTCCGATTCATATGCTTTGGTATGGCATCCTCATTCTACAAGCCAGATGAATCGGACTTGCCAGATGTGACGAAGCCAAAGTCCTCAATGAAAATGTCCAGCCATAGTTCATATCCCGATGCGACGCTATTAGACCATCATCCTCCTGACATCATCTTGCGCTCATCGGACATGGTCGATTTCCCCGCTCATAAACTCGTATTGCGTATGGCATCTGCTTACGATATTGTTGATCGCTGCGTAGCAGGAGCCCCTCTCTCCTCAGATGGGATCCCAATCGTTGATCTCGCTGAGAGTAGCATCATTGTTGGGGCACTTCTCGAACGCTGCTACGCTGGTGGAGACGTCAGCACGCGTACTGTTGACACTAATAAAGAAACCCAGGTTTGGCGCGCTGCGAGGAAATACAAAATGAAGCGGCTGGCAGAAGCAGTGAAGAGTCAACTTCTGTCACGAATACGCGCCTCTCCATTCAAGACATATTTCACAGCGGTCTCGTGTCATTGGCAGATAGAAGCTGAGGAAGCAGCTCGTGATATCGCTTCGCAAGGAATATGTTTGTCCACAAGCTATGTCACCGAGATGGATGAAATGGGAACTCTTGATGCATACCGAAAACTTCTCCGCTTCTGCCACAAAGTCTCTCAGTCACAGTACCAAGTATTACAGGCATTGTCTCTTGACATGCCGAAATTGGAACAAGGAGACCCATGGTATGATCCAGCATTCTCTCGTCCTTCCAAGATTCCAGTAGGGATCATCCTCCGCCTACTGAAGGATCTGGGACAAAGTAGCTATCATTCAAAATTTGTCAGACAGGATTATGACACCAATCCCATGGCGTTCGGCAGAGAGCTGTTCTCAAGGTACACACCGGTGGAACAGCAACTTTTGGACGGGTTGTTCAAGGTAATTAATTTTCAAGTTATGTGCTATTTTCTTATTCTGATGGAATTATCCAGATTACCTTGGAATTATGAGCGCAGTTCGTAGATGCATGCTCAAGGTCTGAGAATAATGTTTTGCTATATTTGTCATGACTCGGACAACTACTCTTCGGGCACTCGGAACATAGTAACTATGATAATATGTTGAACTGTTTGTTTTTGGCTGCCGTAGAAACTCGTGCTAGAAATGGACACCCGATACAAGCACTTTTCGCTATTCACTATCTGACTCATCCGGTATGCATGATCTGGTAGGTATTATTTGGGGCGGGTCTTCTTATGTCAGACTTTTAATGATGGACGCTAGCACTCATAAGGATGCAGAAGCACTTTTGCGCTTCCACCACAGCCAGGTGCTGGGATTTGACAACATCCAACCCGCCTTCTCCGGACTTCTCAACCCAGGCATTGACCTCGGGCTTTTCAATGTCGACCCGCAATATACTGCCGCACTGCTCTGCGGCTGTTTAAATAAGTCGACTTCATCTGCAGAATGACAAACTTCAATGGTGGCTTTGCTCACGACAACATCAATCACGATGTCAACATTGCCAGGGCTAACCAGCACATCTTTCGAGCACGTGCATGCGCATGACAGCTGGCGTATGATTGCCTTCCAGAGGGACTGGTGGTGCACGATGGTCGCTATTTGTGTCCAGTGGTGAACGTCTTCAATGAGCTTTGCAGGGTCATTGGCCATCTCGGATGCTAGAGAATCAGTGCTTTCATACTATACAACCAAGTCGGGGTCAGTAGTACTGTATGCACTTGGAGCTGGAGATAGACCTTACATGATGCGGCTGTATAGAGTAGAAAGTCGCCTTTCAGATCACAATGCATGATGACCATGAAGGCTGCATCGATGGAGAGCCCAAAATTGCCACTATATGTTCCAGTGAACATTCTGTGGGCTGTCGCAAAGAAATATTTACATTAGCTTCTGTATAGAAATGTGCTTGACAATGAGAGCAATAAACATAAGAGAAATGAGATACGAGCCCAGAACAATGCTCAAAGCCTGATACACCACCAAGCCGCAAATGTGGTCCATTTCTACGGAACTTCTCTTCCCATAAGCTTGGAAAAAGGAGTCCTGCAGTCTACTATGGCTGAACCCGTTAGGCCTCAAAGTGAAAACTCATAGCAGTCGTAGAAGTAGAAATCGAGCGACATGGACGACCCGCTAGAGGTCCAGCTAGTCCCTGCAGAATTGTATTGAAACTCTGATGATCTGCATAAGAATGAAGGTGACTAAAATGAGACCGATACGCACCTGACCGAATCTAGAGACAGAGACACTCCCTTGTCTTCACTGTTTAAAAGCACCAATAAGCACCACAGGGTTGGAAACACCGTCTTCCATCTCTGATACTTCCTGTGGTGATAAAGCGTGCTCTACTTTGGCTTCTTGTTGCACTGGTGCTTGGTGGATACTTTCTTCTTCTACTCTGATTGTGATCTAAGAAAACGGGGCAGTCATCAGTACCCGGATTATTATGGAGCACAGACATAGAAAGGTCTCCTGAAGGCAACAGAAGTAGGAAGGAATAGGATTTCTCTCCTCAAGTCTTCCGTCACTTTCCATCCATATTACTGTCAAGCGGCCCAGCACAGGAAAATCGTTCATTGTAATGCAGTCACCCGCTGCACGACGCCAAGTTGGAAGACAGAACAGCCTGGGCACGAATCCAGAAATGTCACCTGAACACATAGAAACCGGGAAGGAGTGTGAAGGAGCATATTCAATCTACGACCTTCAGCTTCTTCGTCAGGTCTAACTGTTACGCATGCATATAGACCCTATAGTATGGGCAAACCAGCCTATTACAGAACCTGTGTTTCTCGCAATCTAGCTGACTCTGCTGCTCTGTGTCCATATTGCCGCCAAACAGCCAAACAGTGTGGCAGAAGCAGAGATAACCATTCATCGCCCATCACAATGCCACATTGAATAAATGAAGAACCTGAGCACGACTGACACAAATGACAACATACCTTTTTATAGACCTCGAAGTGAATCTCTGCAGCTGGCTCTATACTATTCACCACTGCAGCTGGACGTTTCTTGAATAGAAGCATTGGGTTGGTAGGTGCTTGATGTGAACAGCGCTCAGGATGAATATAATTCAGATGCGAATGCGAAGTAGACCAAAGCTGTCACAGCATGGCAATTGTCCTCAACCAGCACAGTGAAATGGGAGTGTTATAGGAGAGAGAAGAGTTGGGCAGAAAGTGAACCGTGAGAACGGAGTTTCGAGCACAAGCGAGATCTCATGGAACTGATGGGGTCCATGGGCCCTTAGTCTGAACTTTTTGCAGCTTCCAGTGCAAATTGGTGGAACTGTTGGAATCACGTACCAGGGTCGTTTCTATTCACACGGAGCCTCTTGATTTATTTTTTGGCCGGTGGTCACCATATTGGTAGGTAGTGACGTCGAAGTGCCACCAGATTGGCACCCTCTTTCTGTTGCAAAATGTGAAGATCATTGAGAACTAGCCATGTAAATCCTCTCCCAGCTGGCCCAACGGTGTGCATCACTGGATGACTTTCCGTAATGTAGATTAGCTGGGCAACTGAGTTCTAAAATCCAAATAAGGTAACTGTGGCTGGCGGTCATGCCGTCAGAGTCAAATATGTGCATGAGGGTGTTGGAGAGATATTCAAATGTTCACATCTTTATCAGTGTGGGATCTAGGTTTTCTGAATTATATTGATTGTTGAACATATAGAACGTGCCCAGTAACATTTATATTTCTTAGGAAATAATGCCCCACCTTCAACTGCAGGTCTTGTACTCAGTGTGACTGTGAATGTTGTGCTGGTCACTGATGTGACTCTCAGTGACACATACATGCAAATAAGGCAACTGTGGAGTACAAATCGTATATTCGAACTCTGCTGGGACGGCTGTAAATCTGTAGTTTGCTTGTTCTCTTGAAATCAGAGAGGTGCGAGAAAATTAGTCAGATGCAGCGGTCAAGGGATGCAGACCTGAACTGAACAGTAACTGTTGAGCAGTATCAGTACAAGTTGAGTACAAGCTAGGAATTCCCGTTGATCCAGACTTATGCCCAGCCCGAGTTCCAACCGGTGCAAGTCCTCCGCCGCGCTATGGGAAGGAAAGATGTTTCAGATGCATTCTGACAATATTCGGCATAGCCCTCCTTCCTACTTACTGTCGCATGGAGTCCGGTATGTTACATTTCTGTTTGAAATGGCGTTGTCAGTATGACTGAGCTTTCCTTTGTCACATAATGACATCATTACTCTTTGGCGACAATTTGCGGATGGACAAACTCTCATTCTCATTCGAGAGTCCATTAATGGTCTAAGGCAGAGTCAGGAGGAGAATCTCGAATCTCTGCCCTTGAGGCTAAGTACGAGGAGCTTTTTAGTATGGATCTTTGCATGTTATTCGTTGACTATGACTGACGGGGACTCCGTTTTGCAGTTACAGAGAAGGCGATTAATGATGAGCAAGGTCAGCAATGTTGATGTTAACGAGTCCATGACAGAGTCAAGGTTAATAATCTGGAAGCGCCGTGGGTCTAGAACAACTCAGGACGAGTCGACGGACATATCAGTCAAATTTGACTGAGAGGACTAGAGACTTCAAGCTTCAAGTCCTACAACTCGTGTTGGGAATTTTCCTAGTTACCGCGTTAGGCATACAACCTTCCCCTTCACTCTTTTCTCCTTTCGTTGTCCTGAGTGAATCTGGTTTTCCCCCATGATATTCCCCATAATCAAGCCTTTTATACACCTACACGCCTTGTCTAATACGTACTCTCACTTCCCCAGGACGAGGATCACGAATGGGGTCCCTACAGACTATCTAGGCTCCGACCGGCTTGCCTTTCTAAGCATTCAAGCCTGACGTCAGTCGCTCTCTCATTGTATTTCCGTGGGCGGGAGTCAAAGATACCAAGCGCGCCCGACGAACATCGACAAGCACGTTCCAAGAACCTCACCGCAAATCGATGCCTTGTAGAGCATCCCGGCGAGTGCATAGTACGCATTGGCCAGCATTCGCACATGCTCCGGGTCCAAGTCCAGATCATCTGCAATGAGAAGTTCATCAGGACGGAGAGAGCAGTCATTGGGCACGGGCGAGCAAGTGGAACGGTTCGTCAAATGAGGACATGGGGTCAGATAGCGCAGATGTTGCCGAGGTGCATGCAAATGTGAAGAGTGTGTCGGAGTACTTGACTTGACCTTTGAATAGTTCTGTGCAGTGCTGTTAGGAAAAAAAAAGTGATTAGAGAGGCTTTACCTGTATGCTCATCAAAACATCCGCGATACATTTGACGATGGAACCATGCGACTGACTGGACTCCAGTGATTTGCACGCCAGTCGACGAACGCATTTGAGAGCCCTGTAGACCTTCCCTGCCTATTTCGTGTTGGCGGAGAGGAAGGGTCGCATTTGTGCGATCACTTCGCGGAGATCTGGATGAAAGAAAATGAATGGAAAGTAATATCTAGATATAGGGAACGTACCGAGATCACTTAAAAGTGGATGTTCTTCATCCGAGAACGAAACTTCTAGTCGAGCAATGCGAGTGCATAACCTCGCACCCTCCACCTCGCTTGACGGGCGTTGCTTCATGTGCATCCTCGAGTTGAGGTGATGGGTTCTGCTGTGTGGGTGGGGTCGAAGAGGAAGGAAGGAGAGTGGATATACATTCGAGAGCCATCATGTCCGCCGCCCAAAGACAAATGCAATGAGCATGAGTGGAAGAAGAAACGGAATAAGATTACACATCTGCTTCGCCATGGAATAACCGCCATCGACAACTCTGGGCCAAGTACTTGCAGCCAAGAATGCTGGCGCATCAGAGCACTGTTGTACAAGAGATACGACGTCGTCGAGAACAAAAAGAACGAGGACAGACGATACAGAGGGAGAGAAGGAAGAGAGGAGCTCAGAACAGGACTTGGCAGGGTCACTGAGCAGGTCGACCGAGCTATGCAGAAGGCACTGAGTGCATATATGCAGTGATAAGGCCATCAGCAGCTTGAGCCTGAGATTTTGCTTTGGAGAGGGCAGAATAGGCTTTGGTAGGATGCCGTCGAGTAGTTTGT